ACTGCCATTGCTCCTTGCCCCTACCAATGCAGTTTTAACTTCTATTACAAAGATTTTGAAACAATGCAAAAACAATCTGATTTAGGGTATGCTTATTGTAAACAGTGTAGGTAGCAGAAGGATGAGTTTACTGTAAGTATGACAACTTGTGCGGCCAAACCAGTGCCATTGGTTCAAAAAGTCACTTTAGTTTTAGTTATTTTTTTCTGTCCCAAGTCAAGCATCACACTTTGAATGAACCTTGAATTAACTGATTTCATAGCATTGTGGTAATCCAAATGTAGCAGTAATCCAAATGTACCATATGACAGTCTGGAAGCAAATGGTTGAGGTAGATTCTGGAGACAGTTCTTTGCAATACTACCCTAAATAATGATGGCAAAAGACACAGGGTCAAGGTAGAGAAGATTTGGAGAAGCACATCTTCATCTATTATAGTCAGCAACCTGATAGATACTAGTGCCCAGACTGCATCAACATCAGACATCTGTATAAAGCCAAACAAAACAATATTAATAGGGAAATGTGGATGATCAGTTTTCACAATGGTATCTGTCCTGCCTACACTGCCATGTCTTTGGGTTAGTTCACCAAAAAATTTAATTTGCCATTATTTACTCATTAATGACTTTCATTCATTTTTGGAAAACAAATGAAGACATTTTCAATGAAATCTGAGAAATGTCTGTCCTTCAACTGAATGTCTATTCACCCAAAACTTTAGACAGTTGATCATATAAAGCGATCATGTCTCTTCAGAAGACTTGAGCTTCTTTGCAATACTACCCTAAATAATGATGGCAAAAGACACAGGGTCAAGGTAGAGAAGATTTGGAGAAGCACATCTTCATCTATTATAGTCAGCAACCTGATAGATACTAGTGCCCAGACTGCATCAACATCAGACATCTGTATAAAACCAAACAAAACAATATTAATAGGGAAATGTGGATGATCAGTTTTCACAATGGTATCTGTCCTGCCTACACTGCCATGTCTTTGGGTTAGTTCACCAAAAAATTTAATTTGCCATTATTTACTCATGACTTTCATTCATTTTTGGAAAACAAATTAAGACATTTTCAATGAAATCTGAGAAATGTCTGTCCTTCAACTGAATGTCTATTCACCCAAAACTTTAGACAGTTGATCATATAAAGCGATCATGTCCCTTCAGAAGACTTGAGCTGCTTTTCCATCGTCAGGCCAAACCATTATCGTTGCTTAACCTTTCCATTCTGTGCTGGTCCAGCCCAAGCAGATACGGATATGGTTTCATTTTTCACTGTTAGGATGATAACAGAGCCCTTTGCAATGCAACACAAATGTGTCAGTCATTGTAATGCAAGAGTTAAGATCAGAATCAGAAGGAGCTTTATTACCAAGTGTGTTTACACACACACAAAATTTGACTTGGCGACAGGTTTCAGTGCAGAAGAAAAAAGTACACACATAGTGCAAACATACATGATAGTGCAGACATAGAATTACACAGTAAAGATGAAATAACACTAATATAAGAAAAACAGAAAAATAAATAATGCACTATATACAGAAATAGAAATATATAGAAAAAAACATATAATTGTTTAAATGAATGTACAGGTATGTTATTTACAAGTGTACAGTTTATGTAGTTTACAATACAATTTCCAGATGCTATGTATAAAAGTGTCACTTATGATGGACAGTGTGCAGTTGTGAACTTTTTATTGTTCAGGCTGAATATGGCCTGCAGGAGAAAACTGTTCTTGTGCCTGGCTGTTCTGGTGGTCAGTGCTCTGTAGCGCCGACCAGAAGGCAACAGTTTGAAGAGAGAGTGTGCTGGGTGTGTGGGGTCCAAAGTGATTTTACCAGCCCTTTTCTTCAATCTGGAGGTGTAAAAATATTTGAGGTTGGGCAGGGGAGCACCAATGATCCATACGGTACGAGATGTAAATAGCGACCGTGTTATGAAGGATGAAATATTTATTTTAATTTTACTATTAATTTGTCATAACTTTGCTCAAATAGCTTGCTTGGCCAGCTACAGTGAAACTGGTGGCTAGGCAACAGACAAATGACCAATCCTGAGCAGCGACATCACTACAGGCACACATCATGGTTCAGCATAGTTGGCTAAGAATTCCACATCAAGAACGGTTTGTAATCAGACCATGCCTAACCAAGTTCAAGTGAAAATATAACTGGAACTGCTTCTTACCATTCTTAGAACCATTTGACCCAAAAGTAGAAAAGCGCCGTTAGATTAAACCGCTCCATTCATATGGATATATTTTATGATTTCTTTACTAACATTTTTTGGAGGTTTGGGTTAACAGACTTTCAAAAGAGGAATATAAATCTCTCATTGTTATTTTTTTTATTAAAATATTTTAATTCGTGTCATGAGGATGAATACAAGTTTGGAATGACATGAGAGAGATTAAATGGCAGAATTTTCATTTTTGGGTTAACACAATCAACATTAATCTTTATATAAGTATCTCAGTAATATACCAGAAAATACATAGGACATTTTCCCACAATTATGTGTTCTTTAAGGTGTAACTAAGAACTTACAAAGCAGGTTAGTTGTATAAGTATCTGGGGTAATCACAAAGTAAAACAGGTAGGCCTTGGATGGATGTGCAGTGCTGTCAAATCTGGGTTCTAGAAGTAAAAAAAAAATAAAAATAAAGTTTAAGACATTCAAAAGTTACAGTACAAATATGTTTGTCAAAGTGTCAATAAAGAAGTCATTGACACTTTATTTTAAAATACTGAAAACAATTTAGGTAGCAACATACATTTTTTAAGGGTTGTAGGGTGTAAAGTGTCCTCTTAGATCTGGAAAAAATACAATGGTTACAGGTATACTGCATCTGAAAGAAATTATTTGAAATTGTAAATGAAGTGTAGCACAGTGATTACTGAGTCAAAAACTGCTCTACTGCTGTGTATAACAGCTTAGGATGAAATACCTCACATCCAGTGTACTGAGGACCATGTTGATGAGACTGGTGTTCAGAGAAGGCAGTTGCCACAAGCACTTTTCCTAAATATGACAAATAATTATTTGGTTAAAAGGAAGTTCCACTAGTGTTGTGGCTTAGAGACACATTCATTACTTGATATTTGCATGCTTTACAAGGATTACAGAAAGAAAGAAAGAAAGAAAGAAGATATATGCATTTCTATACAAATCTATTTGAGGCCTTAGTCATAAAACCAATTCAAAAGCAGCATTTCCTCTGTATTACCATATAAGTGTTCCAACACAGCAAAGAAATAACAATTAACTACAAGACAAAGAGCTCATTTAGTTCAAACCTCAAAGGTGTAATTATGTAATGACTATGATTGTGACGTATTAAAAAAAAATACTGAAAATAAAAAATAACCCGAAAAGTGACCAAAGCATCACTGTTATAAAATTATAGACAGAACACTGCAAAAGATTACTGTAAACAATTAATTCTATCCATTGGACATAAAGATTGATTTCAAAACCTGGTGAGAGCTCATCTTGGCAACTTTTGGAATGCTCTTGAAATGTACCTTGGAATTTCCATGTTGTAAATGTTTAACTTAAAACCAATATATGTTTGTTTCATCAACTCGAGGTAAAATAGTAAACTAGCTACAAAGTTTTAAATTGGAGAGAGTAAAAGAGCCTTTCATTCGCCAAAATACACCACATGTTATAACAGCAGAATAGCCGAGATCTCTGGTGCCTGTTCAGCCTAGTTCAGACAACACAACGTTAAAGTCACCATGAAATCAAAAATGACTATTCAAATTTTTTTAGCAAGTGTTGATGTATTTATTGTAAATGATTAATCTGTGCACATCATTATTATTATTTTTTTATTCATTTGCATTTGTAAACTTTAATCAAAAACATTAACCTCTCCTCCCCCTCTCAACGACATCTCTTCATGACGTCAGACTCGGAAAAGGGGTTGGACTACATTGATTGTCCAATGACCTGCACCCTTCACCGGGAGTTTGATTGACAGGCGATCTGACCAATCATAATGTTGAAAATTAATAGATTGACGTCAGTAGAGTTGAACTTGAAAATGGTGTATTGACGTCTTCCATGGTTGAGCCAACATACAGGTGCATCTCAATAAATTAGAATGTCGTGGAAAAGTTCATTTATTTCAGTAATTCAACTCAAATTGTGAAACTCGTGTATTAAATAAATTTAATGCACACAGACTGAAGTAGTTAGACCAAATACAAAGCAGCA